TTGATATACTTTTTGTTAATATTTTGAAAGTTTTAGTAATTTTGCTGTAATTTTGTCATTTTTATTAGTTTTTTTTTTTAAATAGGGCCTATAGTTTTGATTAATTTTTATTAATTTAGTTTTAGTTATTTTTGTATTTCAAGTTAAACCAAATGAAAATGAGAAATGTTGCCTTGGGAACTAGCTAGAAAAAAAAGCTTATTTTTTAAAAATGTATTCAAAATCACTCTCACAGACGTTTTCCTGGACTGTTCCCAGTTAGTGGAACGACCTGCCTATCTCAGTTCGAGCAGCTGAGTCTTTAGCCATTTTCAAAAAAAATTTAAAGACACATCTTTTTCGCCAGCACCTGACTGAATTAATATTAGCACTTACCTATTCTATTCTATTCTATTCTATTCTATTCTATTCTATTCTATTCGCTCTAATTTATTTAAAACAAACAAACACCTTGCTATGTGTACTGTGCTAGACTAACGGAGACTAGTCACAGCACTTGTATTATGTTGCTCTCTTGTTGGTCTGATTGCTTCTATTGTTCTTCTCATTTGTAAGTCGCTTTGGATAAAAGCATCTGCTAAATTATTAAATGTAAATTTCAGTTAACGTTTATGAATAAAATCACTTGATTCTTCTTTCACTTGATATTTGTTTTATGTTGATGAATTATTTATTGATAAAATGCTTATATATTTAATTCTCCAAGCTTCAGAACAAATTGGAGAAACTTGTACTACCCTCTAATGACCTCTGACCAAACTGTGCTTTTCCTCATCTCTAAATACCGGTAGGGATAGTGATTGTACTCGCAGCTGCACAGTAAACCTACAACATCTCTGCAACTGCTCTCTTTGGCTCTCAGCTTCAGTCTGTCCATCTGGAGCTGCTCTTGCTCAAGGAGGTGATGCTGAATCTTTTGAAAAAGATTTTAGAGACATAAAATCTCCAGGCAGAAGGAGTTGGACTATAAAAATTGGACTATAAATTGGCTTGGATTCTATCCCTAGATTGCTCAGTCGACATCTTGGCTGTAAAGAGTTTGCATCAAATAGGAATCAATCAGACTCCTGTGTGTGGATTTAGTGTTACGTTCTTTTTTTTCTTTTTCTTCTGTCTGTGTGCACAAGCTGTTCATCATCCACAGTAATATAAAAGCTGTACTGCAATCTAATGAAGACAACCCGCATCTATAATAGCATTTTTATGAGTATGCCTGTCCATTAGCATATGTGTGTGGCAGTAGTTCACAGAATGGGATTTATTTTTGGTAGGTCTGAAAATGAACCCGCTCTTTCTATAATGCTGAGAGTAGGCAGTGCCTTGCATAACAGGTAAAAGCCAGTTTCAGATTGAGGATGAGAGGGAGAGGATGAAAACTAGAGGGGAAAGTAGATTTCTCTATCCACCTACTCCTATTCATGCTGTCTCTGGCGTTTTCTCTCCTCCCACGTGCATCCTGTCGTGTGTGTGTGTATGTGTGTGTGCACAGACGTCAGTGAGAACTGTCACAGCGTAACACTCCGTAGATGGTGATAACCGGATGGAATGTTAAGGTATTAAGAGCAATGGACAGAGACCCTTTAAATTACATACAAAATTAATTCTACACATTTGAGTTTTTTTCCTGCCCAGCTAAATATTTTAAGAACGTTTTGCTAACCAGTTTTGGGGGTAACGCGAGTTACTACAGATTACTTTTTCAAGTAACTAGTAAAGTAACGCATTACTTTTTAATTTAGAAGTAAATATCTGAGTTACTTTTTCAAATAATTAACGCCAGTTACTTTGTTTTCTCATTTATTGACTGACAGCTCTCCTCCCTGTGTTGAGAGAAATCGGGAGTAGGCTAAGTGCAGAGGCGTTGCATGCACTGTGTGAACATGATGGTTACTGTAGTGCTGAAGGTTTTTTCAGCTGACCTTCGATGATCCAATTTAACCATATAAGCAAAAATGACTTTAGATAAACATAACATTTCTGTTTCTTTTATTATTATTATTATTATTATTATTATTATTATTATTATTATTATTACTAGCCTATTGCTGAAGAGAGTTGAATTTACTTATCCTGCATCCTATTCTTCATCTAATCCAGGGGTGTCAAACTCAGTTCCTGGAGGGCCGCAGCCCTGCAGAGTTTAGTTCCAACCCTGCTCCAAGACACATACCATGTAGTTTTAAAATAAGTCTAAAGGACCTGATTAGCTGGATCAGGTGTGTTTAATTAGGGTTGGAGCTAAACCCTGCAGGGCTGCGGCCCTATAGGAATTGAGTTTGACACCCCTGATCTAATCCATTCCAGAATGGCAGCACAACTAAAAAGGTTTGTTTGAGCTGCGCCCTCTACTGTAAAGACGTGAATTTACATTTCCTTCAGCCTGAGGCTTATTCATTTCACTTTTGGCATAAAAGGGCTTTTTACATTTGCCAAAAATAGAACTTTTTTCTATTGAAAACAAACAAGCAAGCCCAGCTCCGATTTAAAAAGTAACGCAAAAGTAACACAATGCATTACCTTCCATAAAAAGTAACTAAGTAAAGTAGTTACTTTTTTTAAGGGAATGACGCAGTATTGTAATGCATTACTTTTAAAAGTAATTTTCCCCAACGCTGTTGCAAACGTTACCGTTAAGTTATGGAAACGTTATTGTTTTTTATTGTAATGTTTTGAGAACATAATCAAAGACCAGATAACTTTGAGCAAACATTTTTTAATGGAAGAATGTTTGTTTATAACAAGTCAGAACGTTAGCTTTTCTTTTCTTTTGTTTTATTTTCTTGTAGTTATTATGCCGCCCGCAGTTGGAATCAGCTTCCAGAAGAGATCAGATGTGCTAAAACATTAGTCACATTTAAATGCAGACTCAAAACTCATCTGTTTAGCTGTGCATTTATTGAATGAGCACTGTGCAATGTCCGAACTGATTGCACTATATTCTATGTATAATCATTTTCTATTCTTAACTGTTTTAAATTCATTGTAAATCAATTTGTAATTTTTAAAGTTTTTAAATTCCTTGTTTTATTGTTGTGATTATTTTTTATGATTATTTTCTTTTCTTTTATGTAAAGCACTTTGAATTACCATTGTGTATGAAATGTGCTATATAAATAAACTTGCCTTGCCTTTCTTGTCTTTTCTTTAATGTATTATTTTATCAATCTCAGACCCAGATATGCTTTTTAAAATTCATCATTAAATAATAATTATTATAGCCTATTTTAAAAATGATTATAATCTAAACATAGAGTGAAATAATGACAAACCATTTCATTATATGGTGTAAAAATGATTTATATCAGTTTTTAAACCAGTTTATTTCTACCACGATTATTATCTTTGGTTACCAAGGAAACAAAATTATCAGTGAAGAGCATACTTGAGATGAAATATGAGACATGGTGTGTGAGGACACTTGACATGCATGACGTGTAAAAGGAACATTTTTATTGCACATAATTTCCAATGAGCTGTAATTTTGTCAAACGATTCAAGTGTGAAAATATGCAATTTGAGATGCATAAAATGCTAACAATGAATCCTAGCTAGCAAAAAAATAAAAAAATCAATATCATTTTCACCACTTTTATGTCCACCACAGAATGTTGTCAAACATAGTACATAACTGAAATGTGGTGTAAATGACATTTCAGATAAATTACACACACCTGAGAGTATGAAACGTGTGTTGTAGGAGAGTTTAATTATGAAACATCCACAGGGCCAGACATACCCATTTTTTTAATAAATACATGCAAAATAAGCAATTTTTTATATTTAACTTCGTTCACACAGCATACAAAATGTCAATGCACTGGATCAAACCATTATATTTTATTTATTTTTTCCCCATTGAGTTCATATGTTTGTGTTATTTTCAGCAATGTCAAAATCTGTTTATTTCCAGGATCAAACAATAGGTCTTGATTGAATAGCACAGAAATTCAAGATATAAACAAGAAAATGCTTTTTCAGCTGTGGATTCTAAGTAAACAATTCCCTAACTCCGCACCCCTACATAATCATAACCCTTTTCTCAATAAATCAGTTTAAACAATTACATCAAACTCACAAACACAACACATTTACACTTTAATATATTCACTGTGGCACAGCAATTATCACATCACTGCTGTTATTAGCACTCATTTAATATCAGCAGAGAGTGAGTCATAACAAAATCCTCTGAGGTGCATGTGTTTGCATGTGTATGTGCATTTCTGCCTAATTGTGTTTCTTTCGCAAACTGTAAAGCATTCTCTTTTTTATTGATCTGTACACGCATGCACACACACAAAATCTCAACATCTATTTGCATAATCGTTAAAAACCTTGGCTTGCCCAGGTTGCTTTAGGAAGAACAAATGAACAGAGTAGACAGCTAAGAGGATAAATATAAGCAAATATATAACAGATATTTTATAAGTAGGCTACATTTTCTCTTCTTAAACAGCTTTTCACTGTAAACACTTAATTTCCAGCTACCTTCTTCGTGATTTGTATATTCTCCTAATGGATTCATAAATTCAAGTTTCAATCACAAACAGTGCAGTAAAATTATTGTAGGTTATGTGCTTTTAAAAGAGCTCATAGCGCCACCTCGTGTTCTGTTTTTTTTTGTCCAAGTATTTCAGTAAATATGTATCAAAAACATGTTATTTCGTTGCAAATTCTGAATGTTAAATCAGAACTTGACAACATTTGAACTTTAAAACATTACTCAAACAGAAATTAAATACATTTAAATGTAAAAACACTTACTGAATTATATACATAGAATATAGAATTCAGTACATGTGCTTAAGCTAGAACAAATACCTAATAGCAGATAAAACAAGACAAACTGTACTAATTTAATAGACTGTAATATAAATACAATGGGCCACATATACAATATAAAATTAATTAATCATATGTTGTTATAATCATTTATCTGGCAATGGGTGAAATAGTTTTTAAACTTTGTCAACCGTTATAGGACATGACGTCAATGAAGCGGCACGTCAGAGTCGAGGCGGAAGCGGATGGGAAGCAGTGGGTGCTGAAACATGGCGTGCACTTACACGCGCAGAGTCGGGATGACAGCCGGCGCGTGTGTGTTTTCTGCGATTATTGCAACATGTGTGATGCAGCTGCCCGCATCGGCCAAACCGGGCAATTTAAGAGTAATCACAGATGGAAACTGGGAGGATATCCTGACGGGAGAATGGATGATCGAGTTGTGAGTTATTACATTGAGTTGTGCAAAAAAAAGTCTGTGTTTATTTATGTTTATCTATGCGTGGTGATTAGTGTTACACATCTTAAATGATCTAAAATATCTAGCTTCAGATTATTACATTATTTCTTATTGCAGTGTTCTTGTGCTGGGCTCAGGATAGAGGAAGTTCAGTGGTCTGACGTTAAAGGCATAGTACACTCAAAATTGACAATGATATCATCAGTGCCTCCCCCAAATGTTTATTCAATACCTCATGATTTTCTTTCTTCCTTGGAACACAAAAGGAGATGTTGGAAAGAATGACAGCCTCAGTCACCATTCACTTTCATTGCTTCTGGTGACTGTCATTCAGCCTAACATCTCTTAAAGGGGTCATATGATGCGATTTCAATTTTTCCTTTCTCTTTGGAGTGTTACAAGCTCTTGGTGCATAAAGAAGATCTGTAAAGTTGCAAAGACTAAAGTCTCAAACCCAAAGAGATATTCTTTATAAAAGTTAAGAGTCAGCCACGCCTACCTAAAACGACTCGTTCTAACACGCCCCCACATATCTACGTCACTATTTGGGCGGTGTTATGCAACTCTTCCAACATTTTCACGCAAAGAAGGAAGGCGTAACTTTTATTCTCGCTGTAGTATTGCTGTTGCCGCCGCCACCATGTCGTGTAGAGGAGTTGGAAAATGAGCCTCTTTTCAAAAATAGTGGAGTGTTCTTTTAACCCTTTCTTTAGAAGTCAGTGATCTCGTAATTGGTGATAGATTTGATTAAATTAAAAAAAGTAATAGTAGTTGTGAACTATTGAAGTCTTTACTGTCGTTATTGATATGATCTTTTGAACGATTGTTTAGATAGATACACGCCAGCATTTGTCTTGTTTTCAGATGTCTGCAGTTATAAATGGTTAAACATGGCTGTTCGTATGCGTGTGTTGCAGCTGTAAAGATGGTGCGTTTCGGCGATATCAGGGCGCTCGATCTAAAGATGACTTCCTGAGCTTCATTGATGAAAAGAAATGGCAGAGCATAGAGCCGGTCTCTTCCTGGTTTGGCCCTTCATCCTTCCTGTGAGTACATGCTGTGTCTGTGGGTGTGTGCTGGGGCTCGTTTCAAATTGGATAATAATGCAATGGCCCTGGGCGAGTCTGGCAATATCTCTAGAAAAGGGAGTTTAGAGAATCCACAGCATGTGGTTAATGCTGATTCACAAGTTAGCTCACTTTTAATGTAATACTGACAGGCTATCTTTACATTTGATTTGATATAGTTTCTGTGACTGACTTTATTTTATTTTAGGATGAACGCAATGTCAGCCCTCTTCAAGTTATCCATGTTCATCAGGGTGAGTGTGTATGCCTATTAATATATAGCTGCTGCTTTCTTGTCAGTTTTGAGAATTAATTTTTGAAATTATATACACTATTTTCCTAGCAATTCTTTGAATAATTTAGAGTTATAACTTACAGGCACAAATAGTTTATACCTCAAGCTAATGGTTAATGTTCTTTTTAGCAACATCATATGACCCCTTTAACAACATGACTGTGAGTAAATGATGTCAGGATTTTCACTGTCCCTTTAATGAAATCTCTTCAAAAAATGTTTAAGTTGAAATAAACCGTTGTTTCCCCTGCACACTTCCTCCAGCTAAAGCAATCGAACAAGAGGATTGTAGTTAAATAGATCCGATGGAAAACAAATGAGCCTCGGTGTCTTTGTGTCTCCTCTGGCTGGGATTGTGTTATTGGATTAAAAGGTTTGCCTGTCTGCTGCAGCTTTGCTCCGTGGTGTCCAGCCTGCCAGCAGCTCCAGCCCGTGTGGAATGAGTTTGCAGAATGGGGAGAAGATTTGGGAGTGAATATTGCCAAAGTAGACGTCACCGAGCAGCCAGGTTTGACTCCATGTGCTGCCCACATCTGGTTTCTCTGCTCACCTGATCGCCTGTGTTTATGATTCTCACACTTGTCTCTCTCTATGTGCTGCAGGTTTGAGCGGGAGGTTCATCATCACAGCTCTCCCAACTATCTACCAGTGAGTTTCCGTAAACGGTAAAACTCAACTGTTTAACTCTTAGAGGAGTTGGAAAATGAGCCTCTTTTCAAAAATAGTGGAGTGTTCTTTTAACCCTTTCTTTAGAAGTCAGTGATCTCGTAATTGGTGATAGATTTGATTAAATTAAAAAAAGTAATAGTAGTTGTGAACTATTGAAGTCTTTACTGTCGTTATTGATATGATCTTTTGAACGATTGTTTAGATAGATACACGCCAGCATTTGTCTTGTTTTCAGATGTCTGCAGTTATAAATGGTTAAACATGGCTGTTCGTATGCGTGTGTTGCAGCTGTAAAGATGGTGCGTTTCGGCGATATCAGGGCGCTCGATCTAAAGATGACTTCCTGAGCTTCATTGATGAAAAGAAATGGCAGAGCATAGAGCCGGTCTCTTCCTGGTTTGGCCCTTCATCCTTCCTGTGAGTACATGCTGTGTCTGTGGGTGTGTGCTGGGGCTCGTTTCAAATTGGATAATAATGCAATGGCCCTGGGCGAGTCTGGCAATATCTCTAGAAAAGGGAGTTTAGAGAATCCACAGCATGTGGTTAATGCTGATTCACAAGTTAGCTCACTTTTAATGTAATACTGACAGGCTATCTTTACATTTGATTTGATATAGTTTCTGTGACTGACTTTATTTTATTTTAGGATGAACGCAATGTCAGCCCTCTTCAAGTTATCCATGTTCATCAGGGTGAGTGTGTATGCCTATTAATATATAGCTGCTGCTTTCTTGTCAGTTTTGAGAATTAATTTTTGAAATTATATACACTATTTTCCTAGCAATTCTTTGAATAATTTAGAGTTATAACTTACAGGCACAAATAGTTTATACCTCAAGCTAATGGTGAAGGAACCAATAGCAGACACAGAGATAATATAGTCAGCCAGTCAATAATGCAAAATAAACCTCTGACTTAAGGTAGAGGTGACTCATATCAGCCTGCAATAAAGATTGCCTGACTGTAAATTATCCTGCTTGTGACCTGGCTGCATAAATAACATTTTGAAATGGGATTTGGTTAAAAAAAAAAGTGTTTGTTGCATGAACATTTTGTAAGCATTTAAAGCCAGTATGCCTCACTGCAAAGAAATACATTTAATAGTAAACACCTGACTTGATACCTTTATAGTCTGCTCATGGATGTTTTCATGCAGTAATTAAAATAATCTTTTAACATTGTGTTTCAGCATTGCCATAATTACTTAACGGAGCAGCTGGGTGTCCCAGTGTGGGGCTCGTTTGGGATATTTGCTTTAGCAACACTCATCTCAGGATTGGTCCTTGGATTGGTGAGAATGCACACGAAATACACTAAAAGCTTAAAGGGATAGTTCACCCAAAAATGAAAATTTGATGTTTATCTGCTTACCGTGTGGAATGAGTTTGCAGAATGGGGAGAAGATTTGGGAGTGAATATTGCCAAAGTAGACGTCACCGAGCAGCCAGGTATGCTGCTATCTGTACACATCTGGTTCCTCTGCTCACCTGATCGCCCGTCTTTATGATTCTCACACTTGTCTCTCTCTCTGTGCTGCAGGTTTGAGCGGGAGGTTCATTATCACAGCTCTCCCAACTATCTACCAGTGAGTTTCGTTCCGTCTTACACACATTTAAAGGAACACTCCACTATTTTTGAAAATAAGCTCATTTTCCAACTCCCCTAGAGTTAAACAGTTAGTTTGTGCGAAAAAAAGAACAGTATTTATATAATGTTTTGCCTCTAATACAGCACTATGTCCAACTTCCTTGAGCGCGTGCACGGCATCCAATGCAAGAGGTGTGTACGCGCTCTGGCGTAGTTTACGCAAGCACCGGAAGTGATCTCTCGCGCGTATACGTCACTCATTGTTTACACAGTGCACAG